TAAGATGGCTCTGAAGTTTTAGTATGGTGATTAGAAATGTGAGAACCATTCTGAGAAGATTTATTAGTGTCTGAGTTAAAAGCAGAAGGAGCGAGGACATCTAAGTCTATTTTCGTTGATAATTCTTGGACTTTCCCATCATCTCTATTTTCTGGAAACATTTTTTCATCTGTTGGCAACATCTCCAAATGTGAATCCCGTTTTGAAGCTGTTTTACGGTTCCCTGTAAGGACCTGTAAGGATTCTTCTACAGATGTTATATTTCCAATGCTACTTTTCTCCCTGTCATGTGTCTTTCCAGGATTGTACATACACATGGTTTCTTCCTTCTCCATTTCATCTACATGTACATTACAAATATCTGAATGTGATTCCTTTTCAAAATCATTGTCATGGATTACACCTACTGTATCCCGTTGACAAAGGGTATAATGTGAATCATCATTCCTCCCTTCATGTGGATCAAACGCTGTTTCCTTTTCCTCGATGGGCCTGTCACTTCTTGCTGTCTCTTGAGGTAGCTTAGCAATTATTGCTTTTTCTCTAGCAGACATGCTTTCTAGGGTACTTTCTGATGTTGTCTTAATTATACAAGCTGTACCTGCTTCTGCTTTCTCAGTGATACCATGATCGGCTAGAGAAGACAGTTCACAGCTCGCTGTTTCTTGGCAGGTAAACAATTCTTCTGTAGGAGTACCTTTCAAACTCCTTGTGTTATCTCTTTTTTCCCACACGTCTTCACAATCTGCTTGTTCTGTGATCTGTTCTGTTATATTTGTTTTACTCCCTCTTGCTTTTCCCTGACTTTCTAGAACATTCCAACTGTGTTTATGCTGTGTGTTCTTATTCTGATCTTCAGGATTAATGCAATCTGATTTTTCTTCCACAACTTGGAAAGGGTAATCATTCTTGAAAGAATTTTCATTTCTTGGTGAACAAACTTGCCCAGGCATCCCTCCTAAAGTGGTGCCTCCAGCGGTCGTGAAATCACGCTCTGGGGTTGTTAACACAACTTCTTCCCAGCTTAAATGTGTCCTTGGTGAAGGAAACGTATCTGCTGTTATTGCCTGGCTGGGAACTGTGCTCTCCTTGCTCGACAGAGCAGTTAGGTCTCTGCTACTAGCTCCTAATACTTCCACACTTACTTCAGGGTGACCTACCTTCCTTTCTTGGTCATGCAAGGTTGATTGAAAATTGTTTCCCTTTTCATGAAGACTTAAATGTATTTTTTGCTCTTCCTCATCCTTACCACTGCCATAATCTTTCCTGGAAGATCCTTTTCCTGTTGATTCTTCCAGGTATGCAGATTCATCCAAATGGAAATCTTTTTTTAAACATTCCTGATCTTTTATTTCAATTTTCTTAGCTTCTCCTTTACGTTTTTTCTTAAGGGTGCTTGCCATTAGTTGATCTGAGAAAGGACAAGATATCTGCACTCTGCGCCTCTCTTGGGCTGGATTAGCATTATCATCCAGTTTTTCTTTGCTGTTGATGCATAATTGCACTAATTCATCGCTATTGGCATCTCCCAGTGACGGCTTGATTTCTCCCATACCTGAAGTAATTTCCTCTGAAGGTTGATAACTACACTCATTTCCTGAGGAATATTTTTCGTTGCGGTAAAAGTTTCCCTTTAAGGAGCTTTCTGCTGATGAACTTGGAGACGAACGCCTTTTGAACAAGTCAGTGCATATTTCACCATGGATTTTCTTCTTCTCTAATCCTTCAGCTTTATTTGGAAAATCGACTGGATCTGTTGAAAATGTATTCTTTTCATCTCTGGGAGGAGTACTTCTAGTTTGTATTAAGCGTTCATTTATCTTAAAGGATGAAAAAACAAAAAATAATGACCAAATGATCTATTTAAATATACAAAATGAATTATATAGGTTTTATTAACTTAGTTAGTAATTCTCTAGTAGATTTCCTTGACTCATTTTAATTGTAGATTTCATACAAACTCTGGAAGCCGGAAGTTTTGGGGAGATCTTTGTGGGGTATGATTTGGAAATGAGATTAATAAGAGGCCCAAATTAATCACTCTCCTTCCCAGCTTCCAAATATCACATTGTATTATTCAACTATTCTTGCTTGTCATTGCACTTTCTCCTCACTAAGGATATACACATTGATAGCTCCATGCTAATCAATTAGAGAGCAGCTTCCTGGGTGCCCCGTGCTGCATTTACACTTGCTGTAGGTGTCCCCGTTACAGTTTCTCTTATTAATATGTTTTCTGCAAAGACTCTGCAAACTATTAATAGCAAAACGTCACTCAAAGAAAAGTGAGGGAGTTAATGTCTCTGCAAATTCTGTTTTAATGACCCTCTGCCAACTGGTACTCAAATGTATTTGAGCTCTTCAGTGATGCCAACTGTCAGGATTTAACAGTGAGATGCCTGTGTTTTTTTTTTTTTTCTCCTCATAACTGACATTTGCATGATCTCAATAATTATATGCAAATCTTACGTTTTCCCCTTCTTCTCACATAAGGCTCATGTTACTTGTCAACTGCACAGCTGTCTTGTAAGCCAATGCCTGTGGGTTCCACAGATTTGGTTGTATTTCCATCTATTATAGAGCTTCATTGTTTTATGCATTAACGTCAGCATGGAGCAAATTAGCATCTAAATTACAGCTCCCTGTTCATTTATTGGACGTACAATCTCAGTAACTTCTAAACAAACTTTCATATTTGAGCCTGCTCATTGTAATGAGGTGTATTGGTGAAGTATGTGATTTTTCAGGGCCCTTTCATTATATTCTGTGGTTTGAAAAAAAAATGGCGATGTTAACTTTCAGCTGGTGAGAATTCTCACAACGGGTGACAACTTTGTAGTTTCTTAAAGTTGGAGCAAAGTAAATTGCATACTTTAGTGATGCAGCTTCCATATCACTATAGAAAAGGTGGAATGTGTGGGGAAAGAGATGAGCTCTGTTTCTTTTCTGTTTCAGCTCTGACACTTGAAGAGGCAAACGTCATTTTAATCTTAGATGATTATGAATCTACGTATCCCAATGATAGAAGCTCCAACCAAATACAGTGAAGAATAAATTGCATTATGTGACTCATTTACTGCTATTTTCTCCTTTGTAATAAAAAAGGCTATCTAAAGCATCTCCTAAAATTCCAAATAGATTGAATGTTCACCAAGTGTGAAATTTATGATAACAAATTTAATACTAAATT